AGGACTGCACGCAGACACCTATGATGTGTGGTATCTGTTGCCTCTGTAACCTGTTTCATTTTTTAAGGTTCTGCTACTGTTGCTGTTTTTTTTTCTCCCTCTGATAAACAACATATGGTGGGAGCCAGCGGTGGTGCCTGGCTGAGTGCTGTGGTCCCAGGGGCAACACCGATGGACCAGTACTGAGTGACTGGGGGAGATGCTGAACTTCTGACTGAGCACTTCTGAGTGCAAAGACTGAGCACGTCTTTGCGTAGAGGTGTGATTGGGGCTTCCTTGGCTGCTTGGGATCAACTGTGCTGCTACCGGCTGGAGGTGAAGAAGAAATGTCCCTAGGCAGGGCTTCTTCTGACAATGGCTACAGGGGAGGGTGGTAGAGGTTTGTATCAGAGAGCCCAAGTGCATCCCTCTCCTGGGGGCTGCAAAAGCCAACCAGGGTGTCTCCTGTAATGGTCAGATGATCATTCCCCCAACAGTGACTCCAGAAATCAGTGTGGAACTGGATGTGAGCAGAGACCCTAGGAAACAAAAATTGGAGATGACAGTCTGGGTCATCCCTGCAGGCTCTCTGAACTCAGTTTTGATTTACCTGTTTATTGGCTTAGGGCAGGCATTTGTGACTCCTGATTTGTGCAAGGCACAGGTATAAGAAATACCTGTGATGTTTACCTTTCCCTCTTGACAGGTTTTTCTGGATGGGCTAGTGCAGACAGCAAGTCAGTAGTCTGCTTCAAGAGCCAGCCCTGTGTTGCCTTTGGAGGGGAGGGCTCGCACAGTGCCCCAGGACCTCTTTAACACATTGCACCCTGCTGGCCAGGCTTTGGGGACCCTTTGCCTAGATGATTTACTGAGAGGGGTATCTGAGTAATTCATTATGTCTTTGTCCCTGTGTGCACACCTGATTGTGCCTTTCTTTCGTTCACTGCTTCTGCATGCAGAGGCTGACTCAAAGCATAGCCAGCAGTCGGCAGATGCCAAAAGCAGCCTATTTAAATGAGTACAATGGTTCATGCATGTGAGAACGTTTTGAGGGAGGTAAGGATAGTGAGTGACCTTTTTTGCTTGGCAGCTTTGTGAAATAAACAGGAGTTTTCAGAAGCACTCCCTGCATAGTTTTGCTCTGCTTTCCAATTGGAATAAAAGTACCAATTGGTGAGAGCTTGTGAAAATCTGGATTTTTTTTTTTTTTTTTTTGCTGACCTACCTGCTTACCAAAGGGGAAATGGGGATAGAATTCAGCAGCTTCTTAAGTGGGGGTGGAATTCAGCAGCTTCCTGCAGAATTACAAGCTTCCACTTAAAAAAGAAAGTGTAAGTTTCTTGCCCGGTTTATGAACAAATACAAACAAATCTCCCAAATATGTAACAAATCCCATTTTTTTACACTGCAGTCTGCTATGGGTTAAATTGGAGCTGTAGGAAACAGCATTGGAGTAAAAATAAGGAAGGTGTCTAGGATGTTGCCTGGTGTACTGTTTTATGCAGGAGTTTCGCCCTTCAAAACTGCGTTTGTTTTTCCAGGGAGCTTAGAGCAGTGCTGGGCCTCAGGTGTGGTGGACCCAGATATCAGGTATTCTTACAAAGAGGAATGCTGTAGGGAGAAGGTTTTTGCAGTCTGGGTAGTAGAGCTTAAGAGTTGAAGCAGTGAAGTCTGACACTGCTGAGTAGTCAGCAGCTGGGGGTTTGCATCCTGCCTACAGTAGCATTGGGTGCCAAAAGAGATGGGAAGTCTCTCCCCTTTCCAAGTGGTATCGGTCCAGCTTGGAAGATGAGACCCATGCAGTATTTTGTTCTGGTATTCCCTGCTGTGGTCCAGCCTCCATTTTTCTGGCTTAGATGTAAAATTTGCCAAGCACTTCCCAGTCTAGCAGGTAAGAAGCTATGATTGTTGTCAAACTGTAAGAGTGCTTTAAATAGGAGCTTTTTTTTTTTCATTTCCCAGAGAGAAAATGTGAGTTACTAAAATGTATCCTTGTAGCTAGTTGAGTGTGGTGAAAGTCATGTCCCTGCCATAATCTCTGATCAGCTTTGTTGCAATTTAGTGAAGCATTTAAGTGCTCGTCTCCAGGTTTGTTTGATTTAATCATACTCTGGAGAAATGTCTGCTGAAAAGAGCTGCTGTCTGAATCAGGGCCTTGGGAAACAGCCATGAAATAAATGATAGAGCAGGTGCTGGGCTGTACACTTCTGCTACTGGTTGCAAAACACCGGAGGAGGAAATTTTTCTTCTCCAGATCACGTGAGAGCCCAGTAGACATCAGGAAAACATTAAAGTGTAAATTGCTTTGGAGAAGGAATGTAAAGCAACTCTTAAGAGACTGGTGAGTGCAGTGATGAGTGCGCAGCCTGGCAGCAGTCTCTGCCAGTGAGGTGGGACAGGGGGCAGGCATGAGAACTCATGTATCTCCATCCCTTGAGAGGTCTACTGACTGAAGTCTCACTGGACGTGCTTGGCAGACACACTGAACATACCCTGTATACAGCTGCCCAGGCTGTGGCTACTTTCTAGGGTTTTCTTTTGTTTTTGTAAATAGCAGAGACTTTCTGAGAGGCTCTATTTGCTGCTCTGTAGGGGACACTCTGTCCTCCTTCAGATGTATGCCATGCAAATGGGTTGGTGTCTGTTACTCCCTCAAGAAGGAAGATGGAGTGTGGCTCATTATTAAAGACTGGGACAAACACATGTCACTTTCCACAAAGCAAAAGCCTGGGGCATTTGCTGTTCCTACAGCAATCTGGAGCGCTGCTTCTGTTTGTCCTGCTCTTTGGCTGTAGTGATCCCTAGAGACTTCCTTAGCAGCAAAATCCCATAAAAAACAGTACAGCACTACACAGGGCAGGTAGTCATTTTCAAAGGTCGTGACCCAATCTTGTAGGCGTTTGGGCCAGAGCGCAGCAGAAGCCATTTCTGATATCCCAGGCCAGGTTTTTCCTACATTTCAAAAGCTCATCCAACCAACTGGGGGGGACCAGACAATGCTGCTTCTGAAAAAGTGGGGAGGCAACTGGGAAAAAAATACAGCCTCCTTACTTTATATTTGGAAGTAGTTTTCTGGCTCCAAATGTAAGAGTGTATTTTAATCATAGTAGGAAGAAAAGGACAAGTCGAAGAGTAAGAAGGAGGCTTTGGCCAAATCATGAGAAACGTAGTGGCTTCCTCGGGGAATTCGTGTCAGCACCAGCTTGTGCAGAAAAATGGAGGTGCAACTAATTCTGCTGGACTGCTGGCTGCATGGTAGGAGAAATGTTAGCCCTATCTTTTGCTTTCTTTCTGCAGGATGGTCTTAAAATCTCTTGATAGCTCTCCCCTGAAAGTTAAGCAAAGTGCCTACAGACTGCTAGCAATGCTCTTTCCTTCATCTTTGCCTGTTTGCCTTTGGTTCAGAGCTCCTTATACAAGTTTGGAGAAGATAGGATTTACAGAAATAGGTGGTAAAAACTTCAGAGTTGGAAATATTTCATCATATTCCTGTGAGTAGCACAGCAAAGCTGTGTTAGGGCTGGGGACCTCTTTCTGCTAGCTCAGTAGAAGTAGGATGTGGGATGATTCCTCCTGGTGGTTGTATCAGTTCTGTTGCTTGGAGAAAACCAATTTTTTGGTACACTGACTAAAAATTGCTGCATGTGTAGTATCAATGTGAGACAAGTTGTACCAGTATGTTTGACCTGCTTGTGTATGTCTCAATTGACCCAAATTTTCACAGAGCTGAATATTAAGGATCTTCAAATTGACTGTGCAAGATTCAGAAAGGAGCCAGTGGATCACAGGATGAGCAGTGGGGTATGCTCATGGGATTCTTGTTGTTCAGCTGTGGCATGTGCACAAGACTAGTTTCAACTCTTCACTTTTCGAAATTATTTTTGTTTTGGGTCAGAGTTAAGGCAATTTAAATGCTAATGCTTCTGTTAAGTGTGTCATAGCTAATATAGTATGTGATTTTCAGGCTTGTTCATACTTGATGTGCTACTTCTTGGTAATCATGTGCATCAACAGTTCTTCTACACGTTAACATATTTTGAGGCTGTGTAGGAGTTATGTGCCAGAGGGAGTAAATCTAGCTATGTATATAAGGTAAATTACAAATGTGGATTATAAGTGTGAGAATCAGGGACATTCCATACCAAAATACTTTGCTTGAGTCAACTGGCCTATTTGAAGAACTCCATTAGCTTGTAGTAATAGCAGGCATTTATCCATTGTATGTATCAGCTACTGGAGGGCTGAAATCAGTCACACTTATCCAAGTGATGTACCTACTCCCTCTCAAGAAATCCATCCCAACTGTCTGATACCCACTCAGGCTTAAGTCAGCCTCCAGACCCTTTTCTTTGCAGGCTGGTATCAACAACAAAATTGTGACCTTTGGTGTCAAATCTACTGTCATATGTCCTATGAATTGAAAGAATAACAGTGTTAGCAGGCAGCAGTCCAAGACATTGATCTTCATGCACAAAAGCTGCTTATTGTTCATTTTCTGGTTTGCACTTGGAAATGTGTTTATGTTGGGTGTGTAATTGGGAAACCATTCAGGTGTCTATGAGGCTCAGGGGCTTTGGATAGCTATTCTGACATAGTTTTACAGGTAAGCCCATATGGTGAAATCTTGACCCCATTAAAGTTAGTGACAAACAAATCTAACTGACTATTGGGAACTAAACTGGACCTTGAATTTCAAGGCTGTAGTCTTGTGACTTTTGCGAACTTAACGAGGTTATTTAAAAAAAAACCCAACACCCAAACCACATAACCCCAAAAAGTCCTTGAGAAAATGACTGTAATCTCAAACCCTGCATTCTGCTATTTTTTTTTCCTTATATGAGATTTCTGCTTAACACTTTTGTGTTACCATGAGCAGATGTGTTACCATGAGTAGATATGGTACTTCCTTGATCAGAGACAGCTTGCTCACTGATGTTACTTAGGTAATTTTCCTCAGCATGTGAATGTTATGTGTAGCAGGGGTCAAACAATAATCCCATCTCATTTCTCTCCCTTTGCAGGCACTCTACAATTCAATCAAGAATGAGAAGCTGGAATGGGCAGTGTAAGTATACTGCATAGAAATTAGTAGTTTAAAAATAGTACCTGTGTAGTGATCTGTTTGTATGTTGTATGTCACCATCTACAGATCCTGTAGAAGATAGCCAGTGTACGTGTAATGAGTTTGCTTTTCTGTTAATGAATGACCTGGCAATACTGCCTCATCCGTTTCTCCTGCCAGGGAAGTTGTTAACGATAGGAGCCAACTGCATTTGTAAGCAAAGAGGATGTTTCATTTAGTAGGAAACTTCAGCCTTAAAAGAGAGAAATTAAATCTTCTGTTGTTCTATGACTGCATAAATAAAACAGAAGTTGACTTCTCCTTTTATCTTTCCGTACATTGTGTCAGAACCACTGAATAGAAACGCACATCTTGGATTGAGTTTCCTGCTGTTGATTTATTGTCTTGGTTTGTCTCCTGATTAACTATGGATAACTTGACAACAACCTAATATGAAAGATGATAAATTGGACAATGTCTGATATCCCCTCGTCCTTAGCTGCTTTCAGCAGGCTACACTTGTTAACTAGAGAAATACTGCAGGCAAGAAAGAGCTTCAATTTCTGATTGTGTTAAACTGACATTTCTCTGTGCTTAGGTTTCATGTTGTGTACGTATGCTAGCAAAGAGTAGAAGCGTCTGCTTTAGATTTTTCCACTTGCAGAACAGTAGATTTTGGTGTAAAATAGAAGAATGATGTCTTTTATCTATTTTGGCTGTACAAGATGTTCACCTGCATGGATTTACATATCTGAAACCTCACCTTCTTAAGAACAATGTTATTTCTGGGGTGCATGCTCCTGCATCTTTTATGCTAGAAGTCCTGACAACTGACATAGGTCTTGCAGGCCCATCGGTTTCTGATCTTCCTTGTTTTAAATTCATCATCTGCAAATTAATTTCTTGTCAGGGTGTGTTACCTCTCTTACAAGGACTGCTGGTCCCAACTGGGATCGCAACCCCTGTTCAGAAGTGTATTAGATAATGTCAGTAGTGAGGAAAGTGCGCTGCTAAGGGGAATCATCAAGAAGAGCCAGCTCTGAGCCTCATAAGAAGCACAATGGGAGACATTTTCCCAGACTGTGTCTTGGACCTGGATTACGCTGTGTGAGTCTTACATGTCACAACACCAGAGCTGTTTGCAAGACAGTCTCTCACAGGTACTTTAGACCCAGCAGAATCCATTATGTGACTTTCTTGATGTCAGAATTTTCCTCCAGCTGTTGTCAAGAGACCATACCATGTCTAATATACTTGGGCAGCCTCCAGGTGGGAACTGGCTTATGCCTGGCTCTGCTCCCACGAGCTTCAGTCAAGGTGATTTATGAGATAGCTTGCTCCTGTATGGGTAGAACTACTTCGGTATTTACCTAGTCCAGTCCATGTCCCTTGCTAATGAATTGTTTGGGGAAGAACTGCAAGCAGGCTGGAAGAGAGAGAAATCAGAATCCTCCTTAAATAAGACTTTGGGATGTGGGTGTAAAGGCACCTTCTCCCAGCAGAATGCTTAAAGAGGCCAATTGTCCATTCCAATCTGAAACTTAGATAGCTGGGACTGATACTGACAAATACTTCCTGTGCTGAGAAACAAATATATATATACTGGGCATAGTCAAAGATGTTGTGCCTTTATCTTTAGAGCTGAGAGTGCTGGCTGAAGAAGGGAGTGTGAAGATCTCTCTCCTCACTTTTACAGAGATGTGTGATGGTGTACAGTAATCACCCCAAGGAGCCCCAGGACTGCCTGAGCTAGAGAGAGGAGGCACATCGCTCTTTTGCTCTGCTGTCATGATCTGCAGAGAAAGGTGTATAGGAAGGGGACATGGTTGTTTTTGCTGTGATGGGCCTGAGGAAGATCCTGTCTCCTTTCCAAAGAGTGTCCCTTTGCTTCCCTAATGCAGTTGGCAGGGGAAGAAGTGGGAGGTAAGGCAAAGGTGGAAGAACCTAGCATAAGGTCCTTCATGATGCTGGCATGTTGAAGGAAATTCTTTCCTCCAGCCAGAATCCCTCTGAGGATCTAAGACTGACTTACGAGCTAAGGAACAGTTTAAGAGCTGCTCTGGCAATACATTATTTGGTGGATAAATGACTGACAATAAGTCCATAGGCAGGGGAGGGTAACAGCGATGTGTAAGATGGGGGAAGACTGCTACATGATCGTTATCTTACTAGTTGTGAGCTAGGTGTGTCATCCTAAATGGTTTGCTGTCCGTTTCCACTGGAATTACAGTCTGATCCAAAGCCCACAGAAAGAAAAGGCTACCATTGACTCCAATTTTGTAGTCAAGAGAAGTGGCACCTTAATCAGCAGAAGTGTTCCAGAGGCTTTCAGTAGGAGTATTCATTTGTCCTTTAGGAACAGGGAAGCATGAATACAGCTCTGGAAGAGAAAATTGCATTACAGGTCTTTTTCTGCAGTAGTTCCAGGTTCGAGTTCTCTGAAAGGCCAGAAGCAAATCAAATACCATGATCTGGAAAACAAACAGATCTGACCTGGAATTTACCCTAAACTGGTAAATATAGGCTCCTGAATGCACACTGTTACTCTGCACTGAACCCCCCAGATTTTTTGGTTATTTTTCACATGTGCCAGAAAATGTTCTGTTATTTACTTGGCTTGCTGTTTACTTTGTTTGCCATTTCCTCTTGCCTACCTTATTGTCCAGTGTCCTGGGAGAAAAGCAGTATGGGAAAACTAACCATTAGAAATATGATGTCTCTTGTCCTATTCTATATTTCCTCTCTACTGCTTATGGTTGTAGATCTCTCCTGTTTGTTGGACTGTGGTTCATTTCTTTGAAGAGCAAGTGAAGCACTGAGTAGTGACCAGACCTCACTGGCAAAAGTTCCTG